CACACAAATCAATATGCTTCATGCTTCCAAAGGTGATGCAAGGTCCTGGATCCTCTGAATCCTCCTTGTGCCTCCTTGAGAATCCTTCATTGCAGTTGAGTCTAGATTAATGAACATGTCAAGTGTCAGTGTCTCTTGTCCAAGTGTATTGACTAGGGATATGATTCAAATGCCAAGACAAGGACGTCGGCATAGCCATTCGGTCGTAGACATTTACTTACCTAGATCCAGTGGGGAGGGCAGGACACATCAACTGCTCACCGAGGTTCTGTGTGCCACATCTTCCAGTCCTGTGTGCTTCTTAGACTTCTGAAGGGATCTCAGATGGTAATAGATGCCTGTGTGTGAGCAGCCGAATTAAGTCCCAGCCCAAGTACATCCTGTCTGGTCTCTGGAGGGATCTTTGCCTTGCAGCAGGCCACAAATTCCACGTGAACTGAGTAACAGAATGTCAAATGAGAATCTCAAATGGCACAAGATAGCTAAGATTTAGGAAACTGAATTGACTTTTTAATCACCTTTGTGACAGTGGTGCCACAGAGAGCTGCCTTGTCATAGACGCCTACAGCGTATGCACCTAAATTTAGGTGTCTGAATCATGTCTTATAAATGCAGTTTAATCACAGCACCAAGGATGCTTTCTTTTTCTGAGTTGTAGCATCCATGACCCACTTGAGTTCATGATCTTAAGGAATATGGGCCTGGCAATAAACAGTCAGGACCCTGAACTTCAGAAGAGGGATATTCCAGCTGTTTAAGGAGTGGCCTGGAAAGAATTCAGGGATTCCACCTGGACATGAATATGGAGATACGGATTTGAAAGCTGAAATGTTAAGTGAATAAATAATTGCTTGGATGGTCACAGCCAATGTGTTATGGTCAACAGCTCTACGTCCAGGTAGAGGCCATTCATGTGTGATATCCCCCAGGGGTCTGCTTTGGTATCAGTGCTCTCCAACACCTTTACCAAGGACTAGATAATGTGGATTGAGTGTACCCTCAGCAAGTTCTGCTGATGACACAAGCTCATGGTGCTGCTGATAAAATAGAAGGAAGGGACACCAACTGGAGAGACCTGCACATGCACGAAAAGTGGGCCAGTGAGAACCTAATGAAGTTCAACAAGGCCATGTTCAAGGTGTTGCATTCAGATCAGGCAATCCCAAATATGAGAACAGAGTAGGAGAAGAATTCATTGAAAGCAGCCCAGCAGAGAAGAGCTTGGGAGTTCTGATCAATGAAAAGCTGGACATGAGCCAGCAGTGTGCACCTGCAACCTGGAAAGCCAGCAGCAACTGAACTGCATCAAAAGAGGGGTGACCAGCCAGCAGATAGAATGTCCTATCTAGAGTACTGCAGCCAAGTCTGAGGCCCACAGCATGAGAAGGATTCAGATCTGTTGGAGTGGGTCCAGAGGAGGGCTGCAAAGATGCTCAGAGTGCTGGAGCACCTCTCCTATGAAAAAAAAGACCAAGAGAGCTGGGTTTGTTCTGTCTGGAGATGATTCTTCAGTCTAAACAATTCACTGTACAGCACTAACATGACATGAATCATGCAAAACTCCAGGTTAACTCCTTGGTACAGCACTCTGCATGGGATCTGCATATATATCCACATGTAAAAGCATTCAAAAGAGTACAAGAGTATGAACAAAGCTAGTTGCAATCAAAGAAATTCAGGAAATATTTCTGGTTATTAAAAAAAAAAACAAACAAAACAAACAAAACAAAACACCTTTTCCTGGCATTGTTTCACACAGTTCATGAAACAAATGAATAGGAACACCTTCATATAACTCTCTTGCAGTGTAGTACTGTGTTGAAACAAGAGCTGATGCATACATTTCTTCTAACTTCTAGAAAGTGTTTTTGAAGGTACTTAGCATAATTATTCTCTTGTAATTCAAGTATGTACCAGACCTGGCAAGCTGTATCTCCTTCCCTAGAGATTTGCTGGGCAGACACATATTGAATCTTGAGTTATTTTCTGCTATCAGTGTGCAGCTTGTGGCTGCAATACCCTATTTCAGCTTAAAGCTGTATGCAGTACTTCATGGAATTTTTATTTCTGCTGCTAGAGCTACTCATTTCTCACTGATGGAAAAGGCACTCAAGGCACCAAGAACTCATCTGCCACTGCTGGAGGGGAAAGGCCCATAAACACTTCCTAGTGTCAGGAGCTTTAGTTTTCATATCATAGTCTAAATGGCAGAAATTCAGCTTGCTCCAGCATGGTATCTCATTGGAGCTGCCCCTGTACCTCCAAGTCCTCCAGTATAGGGTCCTCAAAAGCCAGATCTATCATACCTGGCAGCTGGTCTGACACCTACCTCTAAAACTGATTCTGACTTCCAGAAATGGCTGCAAGTGGATGTCAGGTACCAGGTCGCTGCCCAAGATGGAGAAGGCCAGCAGTAATGATGCAGGGACTGTCTGCCAGCAACAGCTGTAAGATGAACTCTGCAGCATCCAGTTAATGTGTGACCAATGAAGTATTTGTAGCAGGTTTGTGCTGATGAAGGAAGCAGTGCAAGCCCCCAAGTGTGGGATGGGATCTAGCCTTTCTGTGGACTTTCCCAGATGTCAAATATAATGCTGCCCCAGTGAAAGGACTGGATAGATAATTATATTTTCCTAGACTGAGTTAACTGTATCTCCACCCTCTTTCAGTTTTCTTAAGTATTCCCCAGTTATGAGATCACAACTGTACACCAGCAAGATGTGAACTACTTCATATAAACCCAGGCTTTACCTCAGCTGAAATTTCAAGAGTAAATTCTGCAAAAGGCTGGCTGGTTTTGTCCCCGTTGCTGCTTAATGTGGAGTACTTGAAGGTTGCAACTGTTGAAAGTAATGTAAAGTCATTGGAAACTGTTCTTGAAATAGTTAGAAAATGACAAGCAATAATCAGTAGGAGAAGGTATCCGGTAATATTTGTGCTATTTTGCTACAGACATTCCCATAAGCTTGAAGGAACCTGAAAGACCACTGGCTCAGTGAGCCTCAGAACTTCAGCACATTCTTTTATTTAATTAAGAGCCTTGTAATACGTTAAGACTGCTACTGGAACTCTTTTTATTATAGCAAGAAAATACCTCTTCCCTGAAGAGCTTACAATTTACATAAGGCAAATGTTGTACATTTTCTGTGTGTTTTCTCTAAATGTACTATCTGTTGCAAATTTAGAATGGCTCAGTAGATGGGGCTGGAATTATTTTCCATTAAGTGAAAAGTCCTATCAGGCTCCATGTATTCAGCCAGCAAAGTGTTTGTGGGAAACCCTATTTTTAAAAAGGTTCTTTAAGAGGTGTTTGGAATTACTTGTGCTGCTGTGTCACAGAACATGGCTCAATGTATTTTTCACACAGATTTTGGAAGATTCCTATCAGCCCCTGGGCTTTGAGCGATTTCTGAACTACAAATGAGCTTATATGAATAGCGTGAAGAAATGATAACCAGCAGCTATCTTGTTAGTGGTTGCATGATCAGTCCTTCAGCTGCTACACTAACTTAGTGCACAAAGTCCAAGGACAAATACAAAATGCAGTCCTTACAGTTTCACATTCAGTCAGTTTGTTCTCAAAATTAAATAAATAAACACTTTATGAAGAAACATATTTTGTAAAAGGTCCTTTCAAAGCCAATTGAGCTATCCAGGAGCTGATGTATCTCTGGAAAGATTTCCAAGTCCTATAGCATGAGTAACATGCTGTATCTGCTCTGGGATCACTCTTTAAGAGAGAATTGGTGCTGATACACCTCGCCTGCCCCACTGTTACAATGAAGCCCATTTGCTCGTGCATTAGACATTGCAAAGAAACATTCTATGCCCTTTACTCTCTGGTGGGAATTAGCTTCTGTCTCTTTTTCTTCCAAGTACCATGAAGACTTGAACGCTTCAGTATTGTGAGAGCTGTCAGGCAGCAGGTACTACTTATAAGCCCAGTTTAAATGTCAGAGTACTCATTTAGACCTTCAGGAAATCTTAGGCCACATCAGGTTTCAAAAGCCAGTAAGGCCACTGAAATACTTTAATGTATTCAGTCCAAATTTTGGAAATAATCCTCTAAAAATATAAGTAAGGACCATCGTGACCAGTGGCAGGCTGAAGCAATTGACCAAATCCTTTCCCAGAGCTTTTCTCCCTTACTCAGATTCTTCCGGGGACAATTCTGTGCCTTTGTCTCATATCTCTGCAAACAAACGTACTCTTAAAGTATGTAACATGGTAAACTGTAGTGTAACTGATTATGGGAAACTTGCAGGAAAATTTTATATTTGCCTTTACATGGCTGTTTGCCAAAATCAGCAGGCATTATAAAATGAGTATGTAAGAGCCAGAAATCCTCCAAATAGGCATGCTCTTATATGCACATTGAGATAAGCCCAAAGTTATTAAGTTATTAAAATGTGCTTTTGTCAGTTATGGTTCTAAACCACATCTTTCAATTATTACTGAGGGAAAAAAAACCAAACAACAGAACAATGGTATTCCATAAATAGGGCTTTTGGATAAACCTTTGACATCCAGGATTACATGATTTAGCCTCTAATTTCCAACATCTGCTTTAGATTGACCAGCAGATATTGTCAATACCAATTAGCCTGGGGCTTAGCAGCTAAATCATAACTGTGAATCTTGATGATTGCATGGCTCTTAGCCTCCAATTTCTGAGCTGTTATTAACAACACCACATTTAGTTGTGGCTAATAAACTTGGTGTTTTATTAAGTTTAAGGCATATGCAGATTTGCAACAATCTCATTATTTTCTTTCTGCTGCCCTTCAGCTGGATTACAGTACAGTTTGCATTGCTTTGCCCATTGGTGGGTGAAATTTTCTGTTAGTCATCCAAGCAAAAACCAATGCAGAGAACTCTGCATGAAGTTGACAGTAAAAAAATACTGCATGCAAGAAAAAGAACATGTGCTTTTAAGAACTCTACTGATAATGTTGACACCTCTTCCAAAGCCCAAACTACTTCTGGAGAGCAGGGCTTACCTTTGTCTGCCTACTGCTTCTCTCCACTGCATCCTTCTCCTTTCACTGACTGTGAGGCACTCCGCAGCTCTGCTGGCAAAAGGGACAATAAACCACACACACACACAAGGGCACATGACTTTGGTGTCAGCAATAGCATTCACTAAAGACTAGAGGCGTGATAAAAACAATAAGGTTCATGGCTTTTTGCCAGCTGGCAAATATAAGCTTTTGTAGGACTTGATCTGTAGGATGAACGTAGAACTAAACAAAACATCTCTCTTCCCTGTTCTTAGCTAGATGAGAGCCAACATTTGAACAGTTCAACTAGTAGAAAATGTCTTAATAGGAGTTAAAAGTAGTAATGTTCATAGAGGCATCCTCTTCTTCTGCAAGCAGTCATCAAATTAGAGAGAAGTGTTGCTCAGGGTAGGTTACCTCCTTTGGAGTATGAGCTTGTGTACAATCAGTGAATGTACAGCTGTTACAGTTATGAAGTATACCAGAGAGCCTGCCTACGTAGCAATTACATCAAAGCAGAAAAGATAGGTTGCTTACCTGTATCCTAGGCTCACTTATGAAACTTCAGCAAAGTGGATCTCCAGAAGAGATCCTTCCCTACTGGCAGTCAGCTCTTAAATGGGTATAGGAGAGGTGCAGCCAGGCTCCATCCCTTCGGCAGCACAGGTGAATTGCCTTCACCTGTGCTCCCATGGCTGACTCACTGCTCACTCAGGTGATCAGTCAGAGGTTCAGGATGTGATTCAGCAGTTCCCATACAGCTTGCAAGGAGGAGATCCTCCACTTCACGCTGAAGATCTGTAACATGTCTTATTTCTACTGACTTTCTTCATATAGAAACTGCAGCTCCCAACTTGTAAATCCTGCTTCTCAGAGGTAGCCCTTGGATATGTATAAGCACCAGAAGCATACTCAAGAACTAGGAGTCACATCCATGTCCCCCATATGGCTAGTGATGAAAGAAGCTATTGAGGACTTTTCCTGCTGCCAGAAGTGTCATGGACTATAGGTTCAAATTTTATTTTCCATCAGTCCTCAGGACCATGTTTAAGAAACTCTCATTGGTGGTGTGTATGTCAAGTGCTGTTCCCATGCTTCTCTAAGTGGTTGATTCCAGGTCAACAGTTTCAAGAGTTGAGAGAGTTCAAATCTCCTGAGAAGAGAAAAGTACAATCCATGAAGGTGGAAAGATTGGGTTATGGAACAAATCCTCATCTGGATGAAGCAATCTGCTCAGATATAAGCATTTTTACATATGGAGGAACTGTACCTAGGGGCAGAAATAATCCACATTTTTAATTTAACTTCATGCTATGTCACAATTCCCATGTTCAATACAACATTACAACTCTCTGCAGAAGATCATGTATCTTCATTATATCTGGCCAGAAAATTAAAAGAAAAATATTTTAACTCATTTTTTTTATATGCAACATTGCATACTAAGACCTTGCTTTTCTCTAAAGCATAGAAAAAAAGAAGGAAAGTATAATTAGATGTCACAGTGCTGTGATTGTTTCTAATTCATTGGACAGATTAGTTGTCAGCAGGATAAATGAATAATCCAGAGACAACTCATATTACCATATTTATGTGAGTGGGATTTCTAAAAGAAAAACAGTCAATAAAAATGAAATTGAAAATGAAAATATTGCTACAGAACAATATTACAAATGCATGCTACAAGTGAAAATAAGATGTAATAAAAAGTGAAATGTGAAGGCTTTTAGATCTTCCTAGTATTGTTTATAAGTTACATAGTTTATATGCCAAGTATCAGCTCAGCATTTACAGCACGCTCTCTAATTTAATCTGTTTTTATTTAGACATGAGATGAGTGATATGGGTATAAAATGAGTAGATCTTAAAAATATATATACTAGTTCTAATAGCAATGGAGAAAACAGTTTGTTATGCTTAAGCAAGATGCACAGTCTGGAATAGATGTGGGCATTTGTACAAGGCATTTTGAAAAAAAAAAGGTCCCATCTCCTCAACAGGGAGGACATTATTTTTAGAAATCAGGAAGGAGAAGAGGAGATGATCTAGTTATCTAACAGGATATAAATAAGAGATTTTGGGGAGATAAACGATGAGCCAACCTAACCAGAAGGGAATAATGTTCCCACGTTAGACCAATAGGAATTCTCCCCATTTCCCCCCATTGACATGAAGGAGTGACAAGTAAAATTTACACAGTGCCACATGGGATATCCTGTATACATCACATTTCTTTGACCAGATTTTGTCTTCCTGTTCTCAGTGAGTTTGCTTTACTTACCACACCAAAAGGTTAGGCCAGTCTGGGAGGCTTGAGATGATACACCACACAAAATACCAACTACTCAGAAATATCAGAAGTTGGGTAAGAACTGCTGAGTTGGTGTTTGTGTTGAAAACTGAAGACTAAGAAGTCTTAAATGTGGGAAGGGTGTAGTGCTTCACAGACAAGGAAAATACCAATTTCCAAATACCCATCAGTCCATGTAAACACTTCTGTAACTTAGTGGCCACATAATCATGGTGGTGAGCTCATAGGAAGAAGCATGAGGTTGTGATCTAGAGGAAAAGCTGTAGGAAGTCTGTATACAGAACACATCAGTCAGTAAAACAACTCTAAAAACTCTGCATGCATGAATCTCCAGACACTAACAGAATTTCTAGGGGACACTTGTAGAGGAGCCTTGCAACCATAATGCTGAATTAATTTGCTTCAAAACCTTATGTCCTTTACACTAAGAGTACTGTCTGCTCTAAACATAGCAACCCTAAGGCTGAACCCACTCACAGATGGGCAAATCAGGAGCACTGCCAGCAAGAGCCACAGAATTTCCTTAATGAAGAAGGAGTGAGTGACAGATTCCGTCCTGGATACATCCTGTGAGTAGAGCATGTGACCCATATTTGAGTCTTATTCTGTAACGGTAAAAGGCTTTTTGAAATCCATTTAAGTCTATTAGTGCTCCCAGAAAATTGTGCACTCACTCATTTTCTCAAAATAAATATCCTGGACTTAATGGAGCATAGTGTCCTTTTACTACCAGTACCCAAGAACTCCAATTATGCATTATTAAGCTATTAAATGGAACTGAATGAAAAGAACTGGCACTTACTGGCAAGATCACTCTTCTAAAATGCCCTGTAATAAGCTATGGAAAAATTAGCAAGCAGTTATAAAACTACCATCTCCTACCAGCTGCTATCATTTGGCTTTATCTAACAGTTAGAACATATTATTTATGAGCACATCTTATGCATGCACACATATACACAGAGGGACACACATACAGAGCTCTACCTGTACTGTCATACAATGAGCCAGCTGGGGATTTCAACCAGCCAGCTCACACTCCTGATCATGTTTTAGGCTTTCTCTTATGAAGACAACATGTCCTCTGGAGGACAATGAAATTCACACTAAAATCAGATTGCATGTAAGGTTCTACAGACTTCAGCATATAAAGCAAAAACCTTCCTGAGCCCCCAGAGAGCTGACAGTGCTGACAGTGTATTTTGGTAACAAATGAATCAACGCTGGAGCTTGTATCTGTTGCATGTAGGGAGTATGAAAAGGGGGAAAATCAGACATGATAAAATTTTTACACTCTCGTAAGGTAATACAATCCATAACCTCAGGAATTCCAAGTAAAAAAGCTGATGACAGCACAAAAGGCTTCAGGGAGGTGCAAACGTCACGAAAGATCTCTAATGCCACATCTGCTGGAAAAAAATCAGAAAATAACAAAGTTATTGCTGATTGCAGAGCTAGCCTACTCAGCCCCTTCTTTGTACCTCTTAGAGTGTGTGATTGTTTCATGCTAATGGGCATGTTGGTAGCACAGAAGACCATTACAGAGTGCTGCCCACATCGACAGTCCATCGTTGTGATCTTTGCTTCACACCAGACCTACGGTAAAGCAGTGCCTTCATTGTGTTGCCTGTTCAATGTTCAAGTCCATTATCGTATATTTTATTTCCTTTTATTACTCTTTCTATTTTTGTTTTTCAACATTGATCTTATGGGTGACAAGCACTCCCGAGTTATGACTGAGTTGCTTCCTCTCTTAATGCATGCATCAAAAGTACATTTGGATCTGCTTGCTCCAAACAGCCATGGTACAAACTGAAAAGAGCAAATAAAAATCTTTATTAATTATGCAGAGCTGATGGTGGAGCTGAGCCAGTGCTACTATCCCTCTCTATATTTAGCAGCGCAATGTAGTCCATCTCCATGGAGTTTTATCGTCAAGAAGCCTAAGAAGAAAATAGTCTCCCAAAAGGTTATAATAAAATACAATCTATCCCTCACCACATAAAGTTGTAACCCACAATAGCCGTGCTGATTACACCAACAACAGTTACAGATTTATGACAGCAAATACAGCTTTTTTTCCACTCAGTGTTGCACTCAGCACCCATTTAATGCAGTGTTGATATGGATTATTGCTGCCCAAGGCACCGAGGCATAATCTGTTCACCTGTCTGACTCAAGAAGAAGCACTGAAGCCTTTCAGATGCCATCAGACAAGAAATTGGCTACAGCTACAGTTTAAAAAACATCACACAAAGGATTTGATGCCCAAATCCGTGTTTACATTCTTTAAATATTAATAGTCTGATCACACGTTTGCTGAGCATTTGTGATCTCTGCCACTATTGAAATCACAGCATCACAGAATTGCAGGGGTTGGAAGGGACCTCTGGAGATGATAAAGTCCAGGTTCTCTGCAATAGGTGGGGAAACGAAACCACCTTCATCCACATTTCTTCACATACATGAACATGTCAGCACGTTTGGTCTAGGAAAATGAATGAGGCTTTAGGGATTTTTTTTCTGGCATAGGGTAAGGATGATGGCTGATACAGGGAGCATCATGTAAAATAACCTCATCTTGTTCCAGCAGCCTCTGATCCTTCTTTCCTAAAACAAAATCAATGAAATACATTTGATCTGTTTTTAAGCTGAAGCTCCTGATAATCACAACCAAATATCACATAATCGAGGAACCCAAGCTCCTGGGAGAGGTGCTCTTGGCAGAAAAGCGGGACCCTGATGGGGGCACCTTTTGTCCCCCGCTAGGGCCCGGTCCGGTGCCCGCGGCGGGGCGACGCAAGATGGCGCAGCGGGAGCGCCTCGGTGCGGCCGGCCGGTGCCGGAGCCCAGCCCCGCTCCTCCAGCCGCTGGGCAGGGCTGTGCGTATAGATGCCTGTGTATACGGAATGTACACTGCTGCGATTGAAACGCGGGGAGAAAAGGGTTGTTCAGAAGACAGGACAGATGACAGGCAGAGGAGTAGCGGCGGGCAGATTAGGAATTAAAGAAAACAAACGAATCAAGGCAGCCCTGGGATCAGTTTCGTGCTGCTGAGTCACCGCCCGGCAGCCCAGGTACTTGGGGTGACTCTGCTCATTTTCAGCTGCGTTTTCCACAGCCGTAAGGGAGGTGGGGTCTCCCCTCTCTGCGTGCTCTTATGGAAGATGGTGAAACACTAATGCAAAATTATGATTAAAGCCCGATGCATAGCAAAGGGCAGAGATGAGCTGATATTCCAGGAAAAGGAGCAGTAAGTAAGAGAAGAAAGACTGTAAAGACATATGAACAGCTCAGGCTGTTCTGTAGGTAATAGGTAACAGTGACAGTACCCTGAGGGTGAAGTATGAGAAAACAACTACAATGAGGTTTTTCAGAGCAGTATATCTTTTCTTAGAACATGATGCAACAAAATACAGTAGAAAACCCTCAGAAGACAAGTTGTCTGTATGTGTGTTATTATTAATGCAGTAGGAAAAATTGAAAGTGTCTTTGGCTCTAAAGATCTGTATACATCACCGATCTGCTAATAATAATGGCAAGAAAAGCAAACTGCTGAATAGTGCAAGGAATAATGGATGAACAAAAACCCTAGGTATAAATCTGCTAGTAGGGCAAAGTATGAAGCTATAGTAGCAACCTGCTAAAATTAAACTAGCTTATCTGAACATTAAATGTACCTCCAGTGCACCTTGATTCACTGAGGATGTGTTTGGGATGCAGTTGACAAGTAGTATTTATTAGTGGGTGAATAGGCTGAATATGAATACAGAGAGAAATAAATGATTGACTGCACTGTGCATATCGTCATAGGGACACAGTGACACTGTACACATTCTTCATGTGCAGGTTGCTCAAGTTACCAAATGCTTCCTATTAGGAGGCTGCACCACCTCCACTGCAGTCTCAGCAATTCCGTGCCTGTTGAAGGGAGCAGCTGCTAGAGCTGTGCCAGACATTTGGTGCCTGCTGCACTGTGCCACTCTGTGAGTACCTTCATTTAGAGTACAAAATCAGACAATCACAGGAGAGTTGAGGAAG